ATCAACGTCCATCGGAAGTGCTGGAGCAGCTTGACAATCCCTGGGTACAGGGCTTCTTCTTTGGGGACCATCCGGTAGAAAAAAGGGAAATGCCTCTTATCATTCAGAACATGAGAGACAAAAGCATAAGTGACCTGGGAAGAGAAGGAAGATTTGGATCTTGTTTGATTTCAGATCAAAGCCTAAATATTTCTAAGCCCAACATGAGATTGGGAAGGTCTTAGGAAGGAGGAAGGTCTATTGCAAGGACCCTTTGGTGGGAACAGTGATTTCCTTGAAGGTTGTGGCAGCTGTAAAGAAGGCAAATTTGATGCTAGGGATTAACAGGAGGGTAGTTGAAAATAAGACTGCCAATATCATAATGCTATTATACCTCTCTCCATTCCTACCTGTGGGATTTTATAGATGCCCAACACGTTTGAAATCTGGATGGAGTTTTGAGAGTCGGACCCTTCGAGAACAGCCAGTAAGTTAGTCTGTTTACCACAGCTGTAGTTTGGAAAGTTCAGCTGCCCAATTGACAGCATGTCTAGCAAAGCATCATAGGTCACCCTTCCATCAAAAAAGTTCTCATGGATGCTGTAGCCCAGGGTGATGTTGGGTAACAGCTTTTGATTCTGGTTGATCGCTTGAATGGCATACAAGAAGGAGAGGAGCTGCCAGTACTTTGTGGGTCCTTTCCTGGGGGGAGAAATTATATACATGCCAGCACTGTCCAAGTAATATTTCTGTTCTACTGCTAATATTCAGCTCTACCTCTCTTTCAAATCAGAACCAGTGAAGGCAGTGAAGGTCCTGTGTGAGTGTCTGGAGGCGGATGGAGGCGGCCTCGGTCCAGTATACCTGAAGGAGCGTCTCCACCCCCATCGTTCTGCCCGGACACTGAGGTCCAGCGCCATGGGCCTTCTGGCGGTTCCCTCATGCCAAGAAGCCAAGTTACAGGGAACCAGGTAGAGGGCCTTCTCGGTAGTGGCACCCGCCCTGTGGAACACCCTCCCACCAGATGCCAAAGAGAAGAACAACTACCAGACTTTTAGAAGACATCTGAAGGCAGCCCTGTTTAGGGAAGCTTTTAATGTTTAACACACCACTGTATTTTGATATTTTATTGGAAGCTGCCCAGAGTGGCTGGGGAAAGCCAGCCAGATGGGTTGGGTATAAAATTATTATTATTATTATTATTATGGATCTAAGACAGTGATTAAAAGATCCAGAAAGCACTATCATAATTCCGCTTCGAGAAAGTAGATATTTCCCCCTTGTATATTAAACCTAAGGCCAAAAGACACCCTTCTCCTACCATCATTTTTCAGATGAATCCTGCAGAATCCGCCCCAAGGCTCATCTGTTCCAGCATTCTCAAGGCGGCCAACCAGATGCACATGCAAAACTGAGAAGCACAAGAACTCTTCCCCTACTTGAGATTCTCAGTTACTGGTACCCAGAGGCATAGTGCCTGTGACAGTGAATGGAGAACATAGCCATTGTGACTGGTTGCCGCTGAGAGCCTCATCACCCCCAAATTTATCTGCCATTGGGATCTTCTTATGTTCTTAAAGGTAGGTACCAGATAATGAGAAAGGCCCCAGAAAGTAACTGGAGATGAGTTGGATCTCATGGAAATGGTAGCAAGTGGAACATCAGGAACTCCATCCCCACAAAACGTCTTACCAATAAAAGCTGGTGGAAGGACATTGGCTAAAGATATGAGGATGAAACACAGTGTTTGTGGTAGAGATGACCCCACTGATGAGGTGGTCTCCTGGCCTGAAATAATTAGGTGAATCTATCTTATCCCTTTCCAAAGACAAGAGGCATTTTGTCTTCAGTTTCCCACAGTCCCCATAAGGCAGTAGAAGCAGTAGAACTAGGACCATCTTTTTCCTCCCAATAACAAGCACCTCCTTTATGATTGCTCCCTTTCAAAGAATTAGCAGTCTTTTGTTGTGGTCCTTGCAAGATGCAGTAACTTTCTTCTTACTAACGGAGCCCTGCAAAGGGATCACATCTGAAGCGGAAAGAAGTCAAGCCAACCCCATTCTGGTGCAGTTATCATCTGTCCTAAATCTCAGCCCCTCCCAAGTTTTGGGTGGCTCAGGAGGCATATATCTGCCAGACCTTTCTGCCTCAGATCCATAACATCACATTTAGTGGACTCAAATGTGATCTTTGGAAGCAGAAAAACCACGCACACTATCATTTTGATAATTATATGTAGAAGAAGTAGCACCTCTGCAAGTTCCTAGACACTTTATGCAGCTCCACCTGCAACTGCAGGGCTGAAGAAAAACATGTTTGCGAAAACTCCAAGATCTGCCTCCAAACTGTGAGATGCAGATGCCAAAGACTGGTGAAAAGTACCAAGATTAAGAGTTAGAAGTTCCCTGAACTATCATACGTAAGCTCTGGCAGAATCCTGTTGGTTTTCTGGTTCTTTTAACAAATTTCCCCCCACTGATGCCAGCTCAGGATAGGGCAACTCTGATGAATTTGAGAGGTGGAAAAGGGAACCGAAATTGCAAGTAAAGACAGAGGCGATTCAGCAGATGTTGTTTCGTGGGTTTATTATTATTGTATGTTTTGTGGTTTTATCCTGTATTTTTATGCTGTGAACTGCCCTGAGATCATTGGGTGAAGGACAAATGTAATAAACACCCACCCACCCACCCCCACCCCCTGGGTTTCCCAAAAAACTTTCTGTCAGAGAAGTTCCCTCACTGACAAGGGTAGATCAAACAGGCACAGAGGCGAACGGAAGAGCTGGCCTCCTCCTCAGAGAGGAGGAAGAAGTATGGTTACCAGATTTTTTTCAATGAATCCGGGGACACTTTTATTTTATTTTTTGAAGCTGAGTAGCAACAGGGAGTCAGTAGTGGGGATGGTGAGGCAAAAGACCCTGGGCCCAAGTGCATGTGCATATTGTATAAAGGTGCAAAGCCCTTCTTTCGCACCCTGCGAAACATAAATGCACAGAGTTTTTTTAAAAAAAACTGGGCAACAGTGCGCCACCCACCCGTGACTCCCAAGCCTTCCGTGATCTCCTGCCCCCTTCTCCCTTTGTTTTGACAGATCAGGGGAGGCTCGGGAGTCACGGGCGGGCGGCCATTGCCCAGGAGGGGACAGCCTGGTAGTGCAGTTGGCTCTGGCTGGCTTCAGGAGCTGCTCGCTGCTCGCTGCTGTGGTGCAGGGAAAATGGTGGGCGCCACGGCAGCGAGCAACTCCTGAAGCCAGCCAGAGCCAACTGTGTTAACAGGCTGGCTCTGGGCTGCTGAGGCTGCCGCTGCCATGTTTCCCAGGGACAGATTTGCAAATCTGGGGACATTCCGTGGACAGAATTTGTCCGGGGACAGATTTGGAAATCCGGGGACGCCTGGCAACCCTGGAGTAGCAGGAATGTGACCTCTGTACAGAGTGAGGTACAGTGAACTGGAATGCAATTTACTGGCTCCAATGAAGACACAAGAGAAGGGGAGATATGAGGGGTGGAATTGCCCAGAAACAGGAGACTTTCGAAGCTAGCTGAGAAGAGGGGGGCTGGAAGGAGGAAAAGGTGTGGGATTTCTTGTTGGGGCAGGAAAGGGAGAAATCGCCATGTTTCGGCAACTGGATCATCATTGGAGGATTGATAAAGCTTAGCTCTTACCAGAGCTCCGTGTAATGTAGTAATAAATCTGCATTACTTAATGTTGCGTTCTGAAGGCGAAGGAAAGGATTGGGCCCTGATTAATAAAATACACACGAGGCTTGGCCAGCAAGACTCTGGGAGGAAGTGCCAATAATATAATCTGCCACACCCTGGCCCAGGTCCCCTTTATTAAGAAAAGAACTCTTAACACAGCGTTTGTAAGACCCAATCAGATTTCCTCTGAGCATTTCAAAAAATCCCCCACGTGGGACAAAGTCAGATCAGAGAAATCCTTTTAACTACAAAGAAACTATTTCCTACTTGAGCATGCATACGTGGTTAAGCTAAATAAACAGGAACCAAGGAAGAATGCATTTAGGAAACCCAGAGGTCATAAACCCATAGGAAAGAAAGACAGTATTTACCATCTCCTTGTGAACTCTCTTCCTGGCCCTTAAGATCGACCTAAAGATTAACAAAATCTACATCAAAGCTACTTTCTGTCTTTATGTACTGAGGATGCCCGGTGAAGCAACTGGTCTGTGTTTTAGAATGCTATACGTGACTGTCAGGCAGTGAGAAAATGGCAGAGGTGCAGAGGCTTGTGGGATTCGATCAGAAATCATGTCAAATGGCTCAAGCCCAGTCAAAGCAATGCGTTCATTGCTGACACTATGGCTTGCTACATTTCCCATAATTCCTCATAGCAATCCCACCAGACCACCACAATTAACTGCTGGAGTCATGTTGTGTGGCGGAGAGACACCGCATCCTGACACTTTCATCAAGGTGCCTCCTGAGTAAGCTGAGTAGCCATGGAATAAGAGAAGAGGTCCTCTTGTGGATCAGGAATGGAAGTTGCAGGAAGCACAAAATAGGTTTAAGTGGATAGTTCCTTCAAATGGGGGTGTGTGGTGCCACATGTTCTTGACCAAAAGCTCACAAGAACAATCTGGCCACATCATGTTGCACCAACGAGATTCTGCACCAGACCCAAGGGCAGCCCCAAAAAGAGTGCATTGCAGCAGTCCAGCTCCAAGTTTTCCAGTGCTCCAGTGGTCAGGCTATTCCTGTTCACAAACAGCCATAGAGGACACGTGGGTCTCTAGTGACAAAGGCGTATCCAAGAATACCCCCAAACTATGCATTTGCTACATAGGCTCAGGATCCAAGGCCATTTCTGTTCTCATCCTGAAGCAAAGTTCTTAACAGGAGGTAATATTTCTGGGTTAGCGGCTCCTCCTGGGCTCCTGCCTGCTTTGCTCCGCTTGTGCTCGGCTTGCGAAGGGTTAAAAGGCACAGAGCTGTGTTTCTAGAGAGGACAGGAAGTGGAGGCGTGGGGGGGGGCAAGGTCCTCCCGAGCAAAAGCCCCTCCCTCGCCATTCCCGCCTGCAAGCGGAGGGGCTGCTTCCGTCTCCCTCTCTCTCTTGCAAGAGCTGCCTGGGGGTGAGTCTCGCCTCCCTCTCCCTCCGGGTGCAATGGGGAGAAGGGGCTGCAGGGGAGGATGCCTGGGGGGCTGGTCAGATCGGGGGGGGGCAGACATTCCCCGCCGGGGGGGCCAGGGCTCTGCCCCGCTCTTCTTGCTTGCCCGGGGGGGGGGGGGGAGGGGGGAGGGGGTCTTGGAGGGGGGAGCCTGCAGAGAGAGCCCTGGAGTCTCGATCAAGAGTTGAGGAGGAGGAGGAGGAGGAGGAAGGGTGTTCTTCCTCTTGCCCAGCATCGCTACTGTGTCTTTTCTCCTGGCAGATCAAGGAGACAGCAGAAACCGCTACATTTTTAGCGGGGCGATTAGAGCCAGATCTCTTATGGTTGGATCGCTTTTCTAACGTAGCTCAGCCTTTTTCGTTCTTTAATCAGTTTGGTCGTTTATACTGATGTACTTTGTATACAAAACTATATAGCAAACTATATCTGGTCTAGGGAACTATGCCCCACAAATAACCCAGAGATGCATTTTCAATAAAAGCACACATTCTGCTCATGTAAAAACACCAGGCAGGTATGGAGTACATTGTCAATAGCAGGACTAGGCAAACTAAGGCCAGATGCGGCCCAATTGCCTTCTAAATCCAGCCCACGGACGGTCCAGGAATCAGCGTGGTTTTTCCATGAGTAGAATACAGTGGTACCTCAGGTTAAGTATTTAATTTGTTCCAGAGGTGTGTTCTTAACCTGAGGTACCACTTTACCTAATAATAATAATGGGGCCTCCCGCTGCTGCTGTGCCGCCGAAGCACAATTTCTGTTCTCATTCTGAAGCAAAGTTCTTAACCTGAGGTACTATTTCTGGGGTAGCGGAGTCTGTAACCTGAAGCGTATGTAGCCTGAAGCGTATGTAACCCGAGGTACCACTGTATGTCCTTTTATTTAAAATGCATCTCTGGGTTATTTGTGGGGCATAGGAATTTTTATTTCTTTATTCAAAATATAGACCGGCCCACCACATGGTCTGAGGGACGGTGGACCGGCCCATGGCTGAGAAAGGTTGCTGACCCCTGGTCTATATCTCTCCTTCTGGAGCCAGAGAGGATAGTCACTTTCAAGGGCACCATTTAAGATGTAGAGGTTTAGCCTGAATGCTGTTTGAGCCAAGCAGATGCCTGCAAAGTTTGATTTCTGATCTTTGAACAACGGGTGAGGAGGAATCCACTGGCTTCACGGTTGGGAGGAGACCATTTGTGCTGTCCATAAAGGGCATGATCATTAGGGCCCAATCTGGCATTGAGATCCCCTCCTAAAACTACAGATGCCTTTGGGTTAAGCAAAATAAGGTCAGGTGTATAAATTTCCCTTTCAACCCACAAGTTTCTGATCTGAGATTTCTGCCTCATCGGGGTCACATCAGCGTAAATTACCAACAGGGCCTGGTGGCTGTATTGGATTAACACTGCCCTGACTTATGACTTGAATGAGGGGGAGGGCTTGAAATGGAATGTAGGGTAGTGGAAACTAAGACCCCCAGGCCCCCTTTCGCTCTTCCACGCTTTACCCCTAGATCTGCCCTAGTTGAGAATGAATGAAATCCGTTGAGTAACAGCTCATCCGCTGTCCATGTTTCCAGGATCATTATGACGCAATGGTGGGAATGAAAGTCTTTAAAACAAGGATCTCTGCTGGATGCGGACCACCCGGCCACATTCCAGGATAAAAGCTAGGTCACTTGATTGTCATGCAGTTGCATTGTGGGCAATTTTTGCAGGAGCAAGAGCTTTGCATTGGTTTGAGATGGTTGTAACTCCGTCTCCTTCTGTGACGAGGGAGAAGGTCCTGTACCATCATGTTCGTGCTCCTCTGTTCTAGCGAGGAGACTGGGAGAATCAGTGCAGTGTGAATTCCAGGCAAGCAGGGCTGCCATCTCTTCAGCAGGGGAGACTTCCTTTCACTTGTCCGAGGAGAGGAGAGGGGAACTGTTTCTCCTGCGAATCCGGTTCCCTCAGGGCCAGGTGGGACTTCTGAGATGGGGAAGCACATGGGGCTCTATTTCCAGGTTGGGCTTCTTCAAGTGCTTGTCAGAGGTTTCTTTTGCTTGCAGGGCAGATGCTTTGGGGAATCAGCTACTTGGGGTTGTAAAGATTCCTTGTATACTACTGGTATACACGGAATATTCAGAAGAGTCACTCTCTGCATCACTTCCACTATTATTAGTAAAGTGGTAGGGTGATTTTGCTGGGAGTACAAGATTCCGGATGGCTTCGCTCACAAGGGTCATAGGAACGTGCAAGCCCACTCACCACAACAAGGTGTTGATCCAGCAAGTGAGAAGTAAATTTTTGCTAATTTAACCGGGGACAAATACCATCAAAACACCAGAAAATTTAAAACTAATAATAATAATAATAATAATAATTTATTATTTATACCCCGCCCATCTGGCTGGGTTTCCCCATCCACTCTGGGTGGCTTCCAACAGAATATTAAAATACAATAATCTATTAAACATTAAAAGCTTCCCTAAACAGGGCTGCCTTCAGATGTCTTCTAAAAGTCTGGTAGTTGTTTCTCTCTTTGACATCTGGTGGGAGAGCATTCCACAGGGCAGGAGCCACTACCGAGAAGGCCCTATGCCTGGTTCCCTGTAACTTGGCTTCTCACAGGGAGGGAACCACCAGAAGGACACTGGACCTCAGTGTCTGGGCAGAATGATGGGGGTGGAGACGCTCCCTCAGGTATACTGGCCCGAGGCCGTTCAGGGCTTTAAAAGTCAGCATCAACACTTTGAATTGTGCTTGGAAACGTACTGGGAGCCAGTGTAGATCTTTCAAGACTGGTGTTCTGTGGTCTCGGTGGTCTAACTTCCAAATCTAACTTCCAAAGCCTTTCCCAGTCCGTCATTCATATATTATGTCCCACATCCTTCGCCCATTTTATCATAACGCAATTTACCTGGTCCTCTTTAGTGTCCCATTGCAAAAGCAGATCGTTCATTTTTGACAGCAGTTTTGTACTACCTTCTACTATTTCTCTCTGAAATCTTGACACTTGATAACTAAATCGTTTCTTTTCATGATTTTTAAAAGTTTCATTTAGTTGTAAATATTGTAAGCAGTCTATTACATTTTCTCTTACTTCTTCAAAGTCCTTTAATTTTAATTGGTTGTCAGTTTCTGTTAACAGCTCTTTATGACTATGAAAACTTTTATGAACTTTTGCCTTATGATACCATAGATACCATAGAACCACTGGAAATGTTTATAAATGGGGTTTCTGTTGGGAAGGGGCTGCCCCATTTGTGCTTTTCCAGGGGCAGGAGAATCCAGTGAGAGCCAGTGTGGCGCAGTGGTTAAGAGCGGTAGACTCGTAATCTGGTGAACCAGGTTCACGTCTCCGCTCCACCACATGCAGCTGCTGGGTGACCTTGGGCTAGTCACACTTCTCTGAAGTATCTCAGCCCCACTCACCTCACAGAGTGTTTGTTGTGGGGGAGGAAGGGAAAGGAGAATGTTAGCCGTTTTGAGACTCCTTTATGTAGTGATAAAGCGGGATATCAAATCCAAACGCTTCATCTTCTTCTCTTCTTCTTCCCTGCAGGGACTTTGAGGCTCCCTTTGCTTCTTCCTCACTCCCAGGACCTTGCAGCTTGTTTTGGCTCCTTCACTCTTCAGGAAGGATGAAAGAGATGGATCCTGCAAAGCTAGCGGGGATGGAAGGGGGAAGATGGACGGTTGACCTGGTCAGGTTGTCTCCTGCATCCCTCCTCACAGCCTCTGAGCGTTCCTCTCTAGGGCTCTCAGAGAGATCTGGTGAGTTCCAGGGGAGGGGAGATGGGGACGTGGAGGGATGGAGGGATGGAGCCAGAGAGATATTGGGGCTTGCTCAGCCTGGGGGTGGGGGGAGGCAGACAGGCAGGTGGAGATTGAGAAGGTGAGCACCTTTCTGGGCTCCACCACCTGCCCGCCTGCACCTTTGTCATCTGCAGGGAATTTGAGCTAGGAATACATCACAGCTCCCTGGCCACCACGATGTATTGGCAGCTCAAAATGTCTAATACCAGTGCTGTGGCCTAAATGCCCTACCAATGTCAAAAAACTTACTGCTCCATCACACAGCAGTAGAAGCAATGAACTCTGCATAAGGAAGTCAAGGAGGAGAATCGTGGGATCATGGACCCTCTTGGTAAAGCTCCCCGTTGGATCATAAGATCAGTTTTGAAATTCCATACATACATTTCCCCCCCCAGGAGATCCTACAATATAGCTCCCTTTCTGTTCTTCAGACATAGAATATTCTGCCAGCTTTAACTTTTCAATGATAGTTACAATTCTGTCACATGACTCTGGCAATCTTTCTTTTCTTCATTTTTTAGACCAAAAAAGTTTCTGTCAGGTTTGGGTTATTAAATTGCGATGACATCTTCTAAATTTATAAACTTTCTCTAAATTGTTAAGAATTTCTCTGGCAGTAAGGCATCTGCCTCAATACATTGTATCATTTCAAATCTGTATAACACTGTTCTCATTCTCCTATTCCACTGTGTAAAACTTCCTATGTGCATCCTAAAAATTTCTTTCTACTTTTCAATCTGCCTTTAAAAATTGTTTCTGAGAGGATAATTAAGAGTACACTGGCAAAGAGGTCAAAATGTTAATGTCAGTTTCTTATATCTAATATATCTATATCTATTATGTATTGATTTTGATTATTTCTACATTTATTCCATTTTTTATTTTTATTCAAGACAATGAGCTCAAAAAACCAAAATAATTCAATATCAAATAATTCTGCTACATGAGGTATGAAGGGTGAATTACAAGTGCTTCTATCTATGTGAGACTTTACAGACTTTTTCTGAGGCACATAGCAGCATAAAACAGGCAGCAGGTGCTCTCACAGAAAACCTCTCTCTCACTTGACAGTTGAGACCAGACCAAACTGAAAAAACGGCCTTCTGGAGTGACAGTCACCCTTTCCATAGCAACGTGGAGGCAACATTCACACACAGAGTTGTTAGGGAAGTTGAGGTAATTTCTGTCCGGTTTGGATTTCTGTTTTAGCCTCTGCCCGTTTTTTAAAGAGAAGACCAATGTTAGAGTTGGAGTGGATTTCATGATTGTGGCAACAAAAATCCGTCCTAGAAAAGAGCCAGACTTTCTGAACCTCTGGTTCTCAAAAATATGTCTGTGAATGCTGGTCGACAAAGGCCATGACCTCTGTAGAAAGACCTCACATCTTCTGTTCTTCCTCTTTCACAAATGTTCATTAGCATTGTTCAGTAATTGGGGGCTCCATTTCTTCCTGGGGATCTAATTAGTTTCTGTCTTTGTTGTAGGTGGTGATGAATTGGAAATGAAGAATGGGGATCAAAATGGGGAGTATGGAGAGAGCTCCAATCAGGGTTCCCATTCCCACCAAAGAACTCACAGTGGGAAGAAAGGCTATCAGTGCTCAGAATGTGGGAAGAGCTTCAGTCACAGCACTGATCTCACTTCCCATCAAAGAATTCATACAGGGGTGAAACCCTATCAGTGCTTGGAATGTGGAAAGCGCTTCAGTCACAGCAGCAGTCTCACTTCCCATCACAGAATTCATACAGGGGAGAAACCCTATCAGTGCTTTGAATGTGGAAAGAGCTTCAGTCAGAGCACCCAGCTCACATCCCATAAAAGAATTCATACAGGGGAGAAGCCCTATCAGTGCTTTGAATGTGGAAAGAGCTTCAGTCAGAGCAGCAGTCTCACTTCCCACCAAAGAATTCATACAGGGGAGAAACCCTATCAGTGCTTCGAATGTGGAAAGAGCTTTAGTAAGAACAGCACTCTCACTTCCCATCAAAGAATTCATACAGGGGAGAAACCCTATCAGTGCTTGGAATGTGGAAAGAGTTTCAGTCACAGCACCCATCTCACTTCCCATCTCAGAATTCATACAGGGGAGAAACCCTATCAGTGCTTGGAATGTGGAGAGAGCTTCAGTCAGAGCACCCATCTCACTTCCCATCAAAGAATTCATACAGGGGAGAAACCCCATCACTGCTTGGAATGTGGAAAGAACTTCAGTCAGAGACACCATCTCACTTCCCATCAAATCATTCATACAGGGGAGAAACCCCATCACTGCTTGGAATGTGGAAAGAACTTCAGTCAGAGAAACCATCTCACTTCCCATCAAATCATTCATACAGGGGAGAAACCCAATCACTGCTTGGAATGTGGAAAGAGCTTCAGTCAGAGAAACCATCTCACTTCTCATCAAAGAATTCATACAGGGGAGAAACCCTATCAGTGCTTTGAATGTGGAAAGAGCTTCAGTCAGAGAAACCATCTCACTTCTCATCAAAGAATTCATACAGGGGAGAAACCCTATCAGTGCTTGGAATGTGGAAAGAACTTCAGTCACAGCCACAGTCTTGCTTCCCACCAAAGAATTCATACAGGGGAGAAACCCTATCCCTGCTTGGAATGTGGGAAGAGCTTCAGAAAGAGGGCAGGTCTCATCTGCCATCAAAGAACTCATACAGGGATACCTAAGGTTAAGAACTTAATTCGTTCTGGAGGTCCATTCTTAACCTGAAACTGTTCTTAACCTGAAGCATCACTTTAGCTAATGGGGCCTCCCGCTGCTGCCGTGCTGTTGCCTCGTGATTTCTGTTCTCCCCTTAAGCAAAGTTATTAACCCCAGGTACTATTTCTGGGTTAGTGGAGTCTGTAACCTGAAGTGTCTGTAACCTGAGGTACCACTGTACAGGGCATGAAGCGTATTAGAAATGTGGAAACAGCTTCTCTTCCAAGAGGCGTCTAGCTTCCCATGAAGAAATTCATGTGGCTGAGCAGGTGGTTGCTGAAGAACTCCAGGCATGACTGGAGAATGGGGACTCATATTGGGACTGAAACCGCCTTGGTTGTGCTGATCCATGATCTCCGGCGCTCTAGGGACAACTGTGAAAGCTGTTTCCCGATTTTGCTGGAGCTCTCAGTGGCCTTTGATACCATCGACCACGACATCCTTCTGGACCATCTAGAGGAGCTGGGAGCTGAGGGAACTGTTATACAGTGGTTCCACTCATTCCTCCGGTTGGAGGATGGATGGCAGGTAACTGATTGAGGTTGAATCCTGACAAGACAGAAGTGCTGTTCTTGGGTGACAGGGGGCGGGCTGGTGTTGAGGACTCGCTTGGACCACTGCAACACATTCTATGTGGGGTTACATTTGAAGGTGACCTGGAAACTACAACTAATCCAGAATGTGATAGCTAGACTGGTGACTGGGAGTAGCTGCCGAGACCACATAACACCGGTCCTGAAAGAACTACATTGGCTCCCCGTTTCTGGACACAATTCAAAGTGTTGGTGCTCACCTTTAAATTCCTTAACAGCCTCGGCCCAGTGTACCTGAAGGAGTGTCTCCACCCCCATCCTCCTGTCTGGACATTGAGGTCCAACTCCCAGGGTCTTCTGCTGGTTCCCTCACTGCGGGAAGTGAAATTAAAGGGCCTTCTTGGTAGTGGCACCTGCCCTGTGGAATGCCCTCCTACCAGATGTCAAAGAAATAAACAACTGTCTGACTTTGTGAAGACATCTCAAGGGAGCCCTGTTTAGAGAAGCTTTTAATATCTGATGAATTATTGTATTTTAATATTTTGCTGGAAGTCACCCAGAGTGGTTGGAGTAACCCAGCCAGACGGACGGGGTATAAATCAATTATTGTTATTGTTTTAAGGACTTTCCCATGCAATATGGGAATCCACATCCATCTGAAGTTCAGGAGCAGTTGGACAATCCCCAGATTCTTGGGATCTACTTTTGTGGCCATCTGGTAGAAAAAGGGGAACTGGGTTTTATCATGAAGAGTCGGAACAGTGTATCCATAACTTGCCCAGGATGCAAAGGGAGAGGTGAGTGCTTTGCTGTGGTTCCAGGACAAATCTCAGACAGTTGACCAACTACAGTCCCCAACACATGCACACAAAGAACAAGAGAAAATGCTGACCGTGTAGAATGGAAGGAGGTCTTCCAGGAGTGCCTCCAGACTCTCAAGATTTTGTGGGACTGAATCACATCCCAGAATATTAGACTAGGGACTCAGCTACATTACTCAAAAACCTGTGTTTTGAATGCATTGTAAAAAAGCAACATGGTTTTTTAAAGCAGTGGTGGGGTGGCATAGGGCATTTGACACCAGTGTTGAGTGTTCCTGCTTCCAGGTTCCATCCCACCCTCACCTTTGGGAGAGTCCAAAAAGGAAAGAATGAAAAGCCCATGGCAGAGGCACAATTCCGTCTTAACACCAAACCAGCCATACCTGTGGGATTTTGTAGATGCTTGACATAGGTGACATATGTCTAGAAATATCAGCTTCAGCATCTTCAAGAACAGCCAACAGGTTATTCCTCTTCCTGGCTCCCGGTGGAGTACAAGGTCAGATTTCAGATGCTGGTTTTGACCTTTAAAGACCTTCATGGCCTAGGACCCTCGTACCTATAGGACCGCCTCTCCCGGTATGGCCCATGGAGGACCGTAAAGTCCATAAATAGCAACACCCTAAAGGTCCCGGGCCCAAAGGAAGTTAGATTAGCCTCAACCAGAGCCAGGGCTTTTTAAACACTGGCTCCGGCCTGGTGAGACCAGGGCCCTGCAGGATCTGATTTCTTTCCACAGGGCCCGTAAGACAGAGTTGTTCTGCCTCTCCTTTGGCTTTGAGTCAATTTGATTCCCTCCCCCTCTTTCTTTTTCCTTTCTCCTGCTGTGATGAGGCTGCATTTTAACGTTTTAATGTTGTATTTTAATCTTGTTTTTAAGTTGTATTCATTCAACTTGTTTTTATTATTGCTTGTTAGCTGTCCTGAGCCCGGTCTTGGCTTGGGAGGGAGGGGTATAAATAAAATTTATTATTGTTGTTGTTGTTGTTAAAGAGCACCACATAATCAAGTAAATCAGGATGAATGGTGAATCAGCAGGGTGTCTGGAGAAGCCTTGAATCAGGTGGAGAGCATTATTGTTTGATTGACTGATTCATTGACTGAATCAGAAGCAGGATGTCACCTCACGTTCCTCTCAAAGATGGGGTCCATTTTAGTGGACTCAGAGGAGAACTTTGGGCAAATCCCTTGAGTTTTCTTGAGAAGTAAAGGAAAGGGGAAGGGGGAAGAGTGATGTTGTGTCAGGCGTGGAGAGTTCTCCTCTCCCTTTGGTAACATCACAGATAAGAATTAACAAGCAGTTGATCTATTTATAGTCCTTTTATTACAGCATCATGTTGCAAGCAGAAATACACAGCTATCTGCAAGGAGGTCAGTTGGCTGCTCTAAATCCTCCTTCCGACTTCCGTAGCATTTTAGGTGCCAATGGGAAGCCTTCCCTCCCTCTGACTTCTTTGCTCTCTGTTATGTTCAGTCCAAGTATGTGGTGAGGGGGGTTCCCCACACTCTCGTGACATCTCAAATAGCTGCCCCCTCCTTTCAGGTTCCCTTGTCATTGTCTTGTACCTGGACAACTCCTCCCTCAGCTGTTCAGCTTCTGTCTCTCTCTCTGCTTCTGAACACGCTGTGGACTGTCAGACTTGCGTTCGACCGAGCGACTCTTCCGGTCGAGTCTGTGATTAACGACCTGAGCCTTTGATGAGGCTCCAAGCACGTTCCCCCATTACGCAAAGTATCCAGCATGCAGGGAAGGAGCCGAGATAGTATGAGCTACATTGCAATTTCTAATTTCTAATTTCATAGTTTATTTCTAACTATGCAGACAGAAAAGAAATATACATGCTCTCTCTGTGAAAGCAGAGAGCAACTGAACAACAAAGGAACAGGAAACCAGTAAACATCACATCCGTCTCCCATCTTCTGTAAGACTTCCAACAGTATGGAATCTCTGGAATGCAAAACAGAGTCTTGTGACTCCAAGCACTGCACAGTGGCAACAAGTAGAAACTAACATGGACAAGGTGGGGGTGACTTTTCCCCTCCATCTCTCCATCAGAGATGAAACTGGTCTGCCAAAGAATGCATTCCCCAGTCCTTGTCTTTAGACTATTCCCTGACATGTTGTGATCATTTGGGTTGCCTTTTTTGATGCCGTCAATCATGGTATCCTCCTGAACTGACTCAGTGAGATGGGTGTCAGAGGCACCATATTACAGTGGTTCTGTTCATATCTTCAATGTCATGTCCAGAAAGTAGCGCTCGATGACTGCTCCTCACCCCCACCCCGGCATTTGTGCTATGGGGTGCTGCAAGGTACTATTCTCTCCCCAGCGCTATTTAAGATCTATAGTCTATATAAAATCTATATGAAGTCATGGGGTGCGGTCCTCAGAAGTTTTGGAGGAAGGGGCCACCAGTATGCTGATAACACACAGCTCTAGGGACATGGGTGGCACTGTGACCTACTGAGCTTCTTGGGCTTGCTGGTTGGAAGGTTGGCAGCTCAAATCCGTGCTGCAGTGGCAAGCTCCCATTGCTCTGTCCCAGCAGCTGCCAACCTAGGAGTTTGATGTTGTTTTTAAATTTTTTATTTGATTAAAATAAAGAAAGAAACATACAACAAAAAGCAATACAAGATTCAAATGCCGAAATTACACTGAATCTCCTGACTTCCTCCCATCTCTTCCATGGGTTCTAGTGGTAATATTTACACCTGCACATCAAAACTGTCCAAATTTTGTCTTTCCAAATTGTCCATACTTTCCATTAATTTACAAGTGTGGTTAAACTCCTGCTAATGTTTTAACCTGCTTACAATGGTCTTGCTTTCTGAGCTTCCCAGTTCATTTTGCCATTTCAGCATAGTCCATCAACTTGGTTTGCCATTCTTCTCTGGTCAGGGTTGTTTCCTCCTTCCATCTCTGGGCTAGTAGCATCCGTGCGGCTGTTGTCGCATACATAAACAATCTTTTCTGGTCCTTTGGTATCTCGGTACCTGTAATTCCTAATAAGAAGGCTTCTGGTTTTTTAAACAAAAGTTATTTTAAACATTTTTTTCCAATTCATTATATATCATCTCCCAGAAATTTTTAAGTTACTTTACATATCCACCACATATGAGAAAAGGTACCTTCTTTTTCTTTACACTTCCAGCAGGTATTTGAACTTGTTCTATTTGGAGCCAAATACCACCAGTACATCATTTTCATATAATTTTATGTCAGTGAACAACGTGCCATAAATTTCAAATCTGTTTTCCATAACCTCTTCCAATCTGCCATTTGTATATTGTGTCCCAAGTCCCAAACTCTGGCTTCCATCACAGTGTCCCATTGCACCAGAAGCGGTTTAGTCATGTTGGCCAAATGACCCGGAAAGTTGTCTGTGGATAAACACCTGATCCCTCAGCCTGATAGCGAGATGAGCGCCACTCCCCATAGACGCATTTGACGAGGCTGAACCATCCAGGGGTCTTTACACCTTTACATTAACACACAGCTCTCCTTCTCCGTAACAGGAGAGTCTGTGAAGGCTTGTGACCAGTGTCTGGATGCAGCAGTGGACTCCGTAAGGTCCAATAAACTGTGTTCAAATCCTGGAAAGTCCGGACTTCCGGTCAGCGCCAGCAGCAATGGCGGACCTCCTTTGATCTTCGGAGGGGGTAGCCCAGTGGGAGATCGGGTCCTGTGCGCTCCGGCGAAGCGGGGACCCTTAGAAATCGCAGGCGCGGACGCCTGCGAACGTGGAGGCTCGGCGGGCACCTTGGAGCGCCCCCCCAACCCGAAAGGAAGCCTTTTTTGAGGCTTCGGAAGGGAGCGGGGGAGAAGCGCGGTGCTGCGAGCGGATCGCTGCTCTCACTGAGCGAAGCCCCGTTGCCGTTGCTGGAGAGCGCTGACTTATTCCTGGGACATTCAGACTTAAAAAATTAACCGTGAGTAGAAGAATTGGATAAAAGAGCAATATTTGGATTAATCTGGAACATTTGTGAAAAGGCGGAAAAGTTTAAAGCTGTTCAAAAACGTCTGAATTGGCTACCGCGGTGGAAGCGTAAACAGGAAGTCCGCTTCACTGCACTGTATAAGGAATAAAGCAAAGAGATTTGGAGCTAAACGTGGGAAAACTGAACTGAAATAAGTGTTTCTTTCTGACCTGAGAACTTTGGAGGGATCTACCCTTTGGAGAGTTAAGGGAAAGACTTTTGATTCTACCGGACTGTTTAAATTGAAGGATTAAATGAGTGATCTGTCACTCAGCTGTCAAAGCTGTCAAAGCTGTTAAAGCTGTTTGCTGGCTGCAAAGGAGATACATTGTGGCCAATTTTATTGGGAAAAGATTGGAAAGGACTGGAAAGCTATATTGTGTCCTCTATTCTTGACTTTTTCTTACTTAGTATCTTTCTGACCTGTTATTTCAAAAAGACAGTAACTTGCTAGGTGGTAACAGTGTCCATCTAGTGGGACTCTCTGCAATTGCAGGAAAGGAAAGGAATTTTCCACTTATAAACAGGAACATCAGACGTGGGAAAGGAATTTGACCTTCACTCTGTTATGGCTGATGGTCATAAGGACCAGTCAACTTTGAGATCAGGGAAACCTTGGACACATAGAAGGCAATCATCTGCTGGTTTGCCCGCATCGACAATACAACCTAAGTCTGGTGGAATGTCTGAGGAACTTTTAGCCAGTGCTCTGACTAAGATTAATGAATCAATACAGCAGTTAAGTACAAAAGTGGGGGAAACGAATAGGAAGGTGGAAGAGACGAATCAGAAAGTGGATATTGCAAACAGGAAAATTGACTTAAACACAGAAACATTAGGTAATTTGGAGAAAAAAGTAAACAGCAATACGGAATCTATCCAGAAACTGTTGCAAGACTCAGAGTCTATACAGGAAAAACTGCTGCTGTAGAATTTAAATTGGGGCAATTGGAAACTGAAAAAGTACCAGACTTGCAGAAAGAGATTGCAGAACATAAGTTAACGTTATCTATGATTGACCTGAAAGACAAACAAACGAATCTTAGAATCAGAGCTGTTCCTGAGTTGGAGAAAGGTACCTTGACAGACTTTTTGACACAAGAATTTTTGGACTTTTGGAAATCGGAATTGAAACAAGAGGATTTTAAGATTGTGAGGGCTTTTCGACTGGGGAAAGGAGGAAGAAAGATCAAAATAAGGGACTGTTTGATCACTCTTCGATCCAAAGAAGAAAGGGACAAAATTATTGGGAAATACTGGAAGACACAAGAATTGCCTACCCGAGAAGAATGGCAGAGAAAAGTGATAGACTATATGGAACTGGCTGAGATGACCGACAGAATTCGAGATCAAGAAGAAGGGTCGATGGAAGAAGATTGGAAAAAATTTAAAATATATCTTCAGAAATACTGTAATATAAAAGAATGTTAGAAAAGGTTGGAGAAGAATATTAGACCGTATTGGCAGACAGAGTATAATGGAATAAGTAAATAAGAAGTGTAAAATAAAGATAGAGGAGAATTAAATACTTTCGAATGTTAAAATAAGTAAATGAAAAAAAGGTTAGAAGGAATTGCTGGAGACACGATTCAAATTAGAATACAAAGCAGAGAAGTGAGAGGAAGTCACGGAAATAAGTAAATGGGAAAACGGTTCTAATGGTTTAATTTGATTTTTTGTTACTTTTTTATTGTGATTTTTTGTCTTTTGTATCTTTCTTTGTACTGTGTGTTTTTTTTTGTAGGATGTATGTGATTTGTTTTTTCTTTTTTACTTTTTTCTTTTTCTGTAATCTTTAAATTGGAATAAATATTCTTTAAAAAAAAAAAAAAATCCTGGAAAGTCCACTTACCTTTAATGGTCAGGCGGTGTTGCCAAGTCCACGCCCGCAATTTGGTGCCCTGCTGGGGAGGGTTGCAGCCTGTCTGCGGATTGCGGATTGACCAATTGTGCCAGGCTTAGGTGCAGGCATTCTGCAGGGGGTGGGCCCAACCAGCCAAT